TCTCACTGTACCGTGAGTCGAAGGCACCAATGTCGGCCCACTAGATTATTTATCTTGGTTAGAATAGTGTTATGCTAGTCGGTGGTTGATTAGTAGATTTGTATGACTATCTGTATTTGTTGGTTTTTTGTTTATGTTTATCTGTTACATATGTCGACATATTGGGTTGGGTTGAGGTTGCACTGCTTTGTGTTGTCGCCAACAAACCCGTGAGCATTCCAGATATGAGCTGAGGGCCTGAATGGCATGCTAGACTCATACTGAGGGGTCGAGAGCATTCCAGATATGAGCTGAGGGCCCAAATGGCATGCCAGACTCATACCGAGGGCTCAAGGGTAAGCCAGTCTTTTTAGCTGTGGACCCGATATATGTTGTTATATGCGTGTGTGCTGGTACTTTGGGGGAACTCACTAAGCTTTGGCTAACTGTTTTTAGTTTATCATTTTAGGTACTTTAGAGGATCGTGGAAAGGAAAAGGCGTGATCGTACACAACTTCCTATTTTATGTCACTAGGTCTTGGGAAAAACTCTGATTTGAAATAATGCTTTTGAAACAATGACTATTTTTGTAAACAATGTTGATGAATGGTTGATTTTGAAAATTTTAAATTTATTGTGATTTTTGAGTGTTACAAGTATTGCAATATGAAGTCTTTGTGGTTGTTTATGTGTTTGTGAAGGTAGTAGTAATGTGTTTTGGTTGTTTATGTTTTGGTTATGACTAAGGATTTGAATGGTTGCATGATGTATGAATCATATGTGATTAGGGTGTATTTCTAATGTCTCATCAATATTATGAAATGAAGTAAGAAGATTATGTATTTGAAGTTGAATTATTTCCACTAAAATCATGATTGGAATCAAAATAAAGAATAGAATCAAGAATGATTGTAATCATTAAACATTGGAATCGACAATGGCTGGAATCATTAAACACTGGAATCAACAATGAGTGGAATCATCAAACATTGGAATCATCCATTAATAGGAATTATCAAACATTGGAAACAACAATGACTGGAATCATCAAACATTAGAATCATCCATTAATAGGAGTCATCAAACATTGGAATCAACAATGACCGCAATCATCAAACATTAGAATCAACAATGACTGGAATCATCAAACATTGGAATCATCCATTAAAGTGACTAATATTACCAATGGAATCATCCAAGCAAATTATTGAGACTAATATAAGCATAATTAACCATCATCAAGTACTAATATAAGTGAAATGAACCATCAACATGTACTAACATTAACAAAATTGTATGCAAGTTATGCCCTAATCCAAAGTTTGAGCATCTGACAGAAGACTAACACAACTGAAGATATGTCATACAACAAGATGTGCCATTATGGTTCAAGATGCTCCCTTGATGGCACAAGGTGCGCCCTCTTGGTTGTCTTGATGTGCTTTTGAGTTTTGATGTGTTGCTTATGTGTTACTATAAGGAGGATGCACTTTTAAGGGGCATGATATACCCTTATTGTGCATGATGTGTCCCCTATGGTACATGGTGTGTAACGCCCGCAAATTCGGGTTAGTCAATTTAGAGACAATGAGCATCAAAAATGAGTTTTTTATGGAAAATTATTTAGAAGGAGTAATCTTACCCAAGTTATAGTATATATTACAAGGGTTCCGTACATATAAAGAACTCCGAAATCCGAGTTATAACGAAGAAGTTATGACCCGTCGAAGTTTTACGGCAAAACCGGCACGACGTTCTGCGACATAAATAGTGAATTTATGATACAAGACTTTTTAGCCTTAGTAATATAAACAAAAGTCGTAGTATACGTTAAACCGAGATCATGCATAAAAAGAACGTCCAAATTTGACTTTGTACGAGGAAGTTATGATTTTTCTAAGATTTGGCATAGCAGTGCACAACCCGGAATTCGAATTTTAGATCGAGCGGTCTTTGGCCAACGTGACCTAAATGAGAATTGAAGATCTCATTAATAGGGACTCAACGATAAAAAGACAGACGAAAACGGAGTCCGTATGTAGAAGTTATGAATTTTACGCAACCATTTAACAGTATAATCTTCTCATACTGTTAAATTTAAAATCGGTAGAGAATTAGCCAACGGAGTCAAAAGGAAAGTTGTAGATCTTGTTTTTACCTACGCGTGGATATAAAGAACGTCGAAAACAGAGTTCGTATGCGAAAGTTATGAATTTTTAAAGATTGGTTGTTTTACCTGAGCCGAGTACCACGTGTCAGCACCAGGCGAAGCCTTGGAGCCTACACAATACCATGACGTGGTGGGAGGCACGACGACGTGGTGACGCTCCAGGAAGCCTATAAATAGAGGTGTCGGGGCTGCCTCATTCCTCACACCTTTACCCACTTCTTTCTCTCTCTAAACTCTCTTTCTACCCCCCCCCCCCAACCCCCAAAAAGCCTGGGAACCTCCCTAGCACGAGGCGGAAGCCCGGAGCACCCGACGGCTCTGAAAAGAAGAGCCTTCGGCTTAGAATCTCTGCTTCGGTGGAGCCCGGTTTTGAGAAAAACCCGCTGTAAGTGAGCTATGCCTACCCTATCTTTAGTATAACTTATGTTTCAATATAGTAATGTTATTAGGACCTTATAATGAGTATGTCGGTTATTATTATGGGTTATATAAGTGTCGTTATAATGTTTTTTTAACCACTCGCGGTACGGGGAATCCGGTTTGAAAGGACGCTTGGGTTGCTGGATTCAGAAGTGCTATATGCCAAAATGATCCTGCCCTCCGGTGTTTCATGTATGGCCCCTGTCTGTACAGAGTGGGTGAAGAGTATTGTTTAACGCTTATATAATAGTTATAATAGTTAGACTATTAATTAGTCTCGGTGAATATTAGACTAAAATCTAGTGGTAATGATACTAGGTTTTGTCCAAGGAAAATTGTTTTAAGAGTAACGAAGTGTTGTCCGAGTGCTGAGTCACCACCTTTACAAGTGAGTGCATAGTTACTTTCATCTTACACATAGATATGAAGTATTTTATATAAATTACGTGCTATGTGTGTATACTGTCTGAATACTTGCTGTCTATGCTGGATGAAACGTTTTATACATGTTTTAAATTATCTAAACTGTATATGTATTTTATATCTACAAAATGTGTTGGGTAAAACATGGGTAGATTAGAGGTGAGATAAATGATGAGCGATGAAAGATGAGATAAATGATGAGCGATGAAATATGAGATGAATTATGAGCGATGATATATGAGTGATAAAATATGGTGCGAAGCGATGACCTAAGCGATGAGCCAAAGCGATGAGCCAAACGATGAGCCAAAACGATGAGCCAAACGATGAACCAAGCGATGGCCCCGTCATCTAGCAGAGTATGGATGACAACCACGGATTATTCTAGACCGTCCAGTGGAACACTAGCAGGCTCGCAACCTGTAGGTGTTGTGAATGATGTGTTCACCCGGTGTACTCTAAAAACTCATTGACATGTATTGCGAGTGGACTCTCGAAAACGATACTGTCAATAAACGAGATAAACCCTGACGACTAGGCAGACTTAGTGTTGATTCCTTAGGATACTCCTTAGGAATGAATGAACGAGGAATAGCTGAATCTTAGGGTAGATCTTTAAGAGTAAAGAAGATAATGGGGGTGTGTAATTGGGTTGATTGTTTGACGTTTAACATAATAATTATATTATTGTGGGTTGAAAACCCTATGTACTCATCTGGTTTCCCAACCTGACCCACTCAAGCTTATTTGTATCACGGGTGTCGATATGAAGCTACTATACACTGAGGGATTTAAAAGAGATGTAGATCATTAGTGTAAATGAATGTAAGTTTTGTTTATGCTTATGTTTCTGTATTGACGATGACATCCCAAATGTTTTAAAATGAATAAAAATACATTTATTCGGAAATGTTTTGATAACATATTTATCATGTTTTTCTGGGAACAAATTCCGCAACATTTTTATTAAAAGATGTACTCTGATTTTTATAAAGCATAAACAAAATCGGTCTTTTCTGGCCGTGAAAATGGGGATGTCACATGGTGTGCCCTTGGCTTGGATGATGTGTCCTTCTGGTTGTGAGGTATGAGGGTTTTCAAGGAAGTTCGAGGTTGTTATGAAGTTGAATGTGCTCAAGGTGGATGCTCCCCATGGAGCATGATACGTCCTTATAAGGCATCATGTGCCCCATGGAACATGATGCACCCTTATGGCATCATGGGGCGCTACATATGCATGGATATGCACATGCATGATCTCTCAAGGTTGAAGGTTCTAGAGGCAGATACATAGTGACTTGTGATTGGTTGACACCTTTCATGAACCTATGAACTGATGGGTTTGGACCATTAGCGTTTTAGGTCAAATCCATTGTCTGTAAATAGGGATGTCTGGTAGTCATTTTTTAGTATCTTGAATCAGTAGTGAGTATGTCGAATCTCTACTGGATTGTACTTATAATCTTTGTTTGATAACTCTTGAATAAGAATAACCCCTACTACTCGTGGACATAAGGCATCTTGACCGATCTACGTAAATATTGTGTCTTTGTGTGTATGATTTCGTGATTTATCTGCTTTTCTTCGTGACATGCACTATGGACTAGAGTTTGGACTATAACTAGGGCAATGTTTTATTTATTTATTTACTTAGCTTGAAATAATTTATGTTTAATTTGGATTTTGTATTATCAATTGAGAAATTTTATTCAACACAAAATATTAAAAATATAAAATTGTCATATTCAACATTTAACACAGACGTAATCAAAATAACATGGTTTCGATTAGAGATAGATTGACACTGAAAACAGACGTAATCAAAATAACATGGTTTCAATTAGAGATAGATTGACACTCAAAAGTGGTTTCAATTAGAGAAAAGTGGTTTCATTTAGTGATAGATTGACATTCAAAACACCCACCAAATATGTACAAAGGGTAAAACTATGGTCGCTACTCGTCGACCCTTAAAACAAATAAGTGAATAACGCCTCTCAATTGGTTCCGGAGACTTGTCTTGGGCTTACAGCCTTACACAAACAACGAAGAGGATACAATACATGTGAAATGTATGATAACGAACGATCAATGTATTGGACAGTTGGCAGTGGTCCATAAACATTAAACAACGACCCCAAAACCAAAAATCCAATAGATAACTTCAAACTTCCCTCTACAATACACCTCCCACTCCCACAGTCCCACGGTGGGGAGCACCTAATCTCATCTTAAACTATGGTGGTGGTTATGGACGTTTTGTACCAGCCAACGAAGCCTTTAATCACGTCGTCTTCGCCTTCGCCTTCAATCTCCGACCGGAATTTCAACTATTATGCTCATGTATCCACCAAGTACCATCCGCTTCCGAGTACTAGCAGCAGCTTCAGATTACATCGCATCACTTCTCAATTGGCCCCAAACTCATCCAAAACAGGTAGACTAAATTTATTACTCCAATTGAATTTTAAATCTCCGCCATTTTTGTATAGATTAAACTCATTTTTTATTCCGTACGTTGTTTCTCTACTTGTTTTTTTTTTCTTTTCCTTACACGAGTCGTAATGTTCGTAAGGATTAGATGCTAATGCTATCTCGCTTTTCAATGGTATATGGTGCTTTGTTTGATTTTTGATACCTCATGTCTGATGGAAGGCACATTCGAATTGCAAATTAGGTTTTGAATTCGGGTACTAGACTACTAGTTGGGTTGTGTAATGTGTGTGGTGGTGATTAATTTTCAATGCGAGAACAATGTGATTATTTTAAATTATTATCCCATCATGAGTGGGGTCTCCCTGCTGCGTACGAATTTTAATAGTCAACAAAGATTTTATGTCCTACACGGATGTTCAACAGTTCAAGCTTTTAGACATCTTTTGGTGTAATAATTGAGTAAGTGTTCCTTTATTTTGTACAGTAGGAGTTGTTTAACGTCTTTTTGTAGGGTAAATAGTTGTGATTTTTATTCATTCCAGAACAACACAGACACACATTTAGTGTTTTTCATGTCAAATAGGTGATAAGTGTTTTTCTTTAACCAGTTTCATAAACAGTGAAAACATCAAATCAATTTGACATGTTGGAATAATCCTTCAAAATTTTTTTGTAAATTAAACTTGGTTTCCAGAAAAAAAAATCAAAGGTTTCCATGCAAGGCTTTAGATATTTCTTTTTCCATGAGTACGCTTAACTTGAAGAAAACTAAATGCTGTAATTAGTAGTCATTATCGTATAATGCCAACACACCATTTCTTTCTCATTGTTTTCCTCTTATCTTTAAAAGATATTATCATTCTTAATCCTAATAATGACTTGTTTGACAGAAAATATATTTTCAGTTTTCAGTTTTAGTGCTTAAATCTATCCTTTGTCCTTTGTCACACACCTCTGGTTATTTCTTCATTGTGGGCTTCATTTGCAAGAGGTCACTCGGTGTGGGTCCATGTTTCCTGTTTATGGCGGAGGTCATCTATGGAAGCAGTTGCAACTGTCTCCATCTTACCTCATTCTTATGGGACTGTGGTATTGTTATTGTTATTGTTATTGTTTGGTTGACATACGTATTATAGATGCAGGTTATGGATGTTCATGGATGCAAGACAACTCAACCTATAAGTCTATTATAGCCAACCATGAAAGGAGACATGGCCCATTACATTCAATGTTTCCATCTAGCCCTGCACAAGTTTCCTCTGTGGAAGATCTTTTTGAATTTATATGCTCAGGGCCCCTTATAGAAAAACTTGGATTCACTCCAGAAACAATAGCAGAGTCTATAGACAAGTGGTTAACAAATGGATTCCACGTGTGTGAATTGTTTAACCTCAACGAGTTATACCTTACAATACCCCAGAAAGCTAGAATTTATCACTACTATATCCCTGTCTTTTTGTGGTGCGAACAGCAGATTTCTGATCATAGGTCCACTTTTAAAGATGGAGATGATATCCCTCCTTTGGTGGTAAATGTTTAATCTTTTTTTTTTTTTTTAATGACAGTATAAAAAATACAATTAATATACTCCACAAAAAGGTTGATGTCCTCTGTTGTTATGCAGATTGGCTTTAGTGCACCACAAGGTTGTGGGAAAACTACACTTGTCTTTGCTCTAGACTATCTTTTTTCAAAAACTGCAGGCAGGTAGAGTGCAGAGTAATGATATATTTTACTAAAATAACTATATTTTAATGGTTGTGAATTTATAATACAGAAAACTTTACAAAACTCACTTTAGTTTATCACTTTTTTGGTTGATCACCCAGATATATATTGTTTAATGATTTAACCACAAAAAACTTTGCCATATTTAAAAAACACGCAGCGACAGGGTATAATGGGTTTTGCTGGTATTCTTGCTGACGTGGCATTCAAAAAGAGTAAATTTCATAAAAACCATTGTAGTTTGTCATTTTTTTCGGTTTAACCACCCGAAGAATTTCTTTTTATGATTTAACCACAAAAATGTTTTTGCCACATAAGCAATTCAATTAATAGAATGAATTAGCCATCCACGTTTCAACTTAGTATAGTAGTATATGTTGGCCTTTCTTTTGTAACCACCCTAGTGCTTACAAAAGGAAAAACCAACATAATCACAAGTTTCAACACGTGGGGCTGGTTACAAAAGAAATGCCAAAAAACTAACTGGTCTAGATCAGTTGGCCACCAGGGTTGCCTGGGTGGTTTTCCTTTGGGAGGTCTCGGGTTCAAGACTTCTTGGAGGCTTTTCCATAGGTGAAGCGGGTAATGGGGTAACTCCCCATGGGTGAAGGTTCGGGAAAGGCATACTGCCCGCTTGGATATGTCACTGCACGACTCGAACCACTAACATAATCTAACTCTGCCGTTCTAAAAAAACAAAAGAAATGCCAAAATATAGTGGGTTGAAATGTGGATAACCAATTCCTTTTGCTAATCAAATTGCTTTTGTAGTTAAACTGTAAAAAAAAATTCTCTAGGTGGTTAAACTGAAAAAAAGTGACAAACTAGAGTGGTTTTTATATATTTTACCCTTTCTAGTAATCTTGAGGGATAAAACTCATAAAAGAATTTCCAACATGTATGTATCAGGAAATCTGCAACTATTTCCATAGATGACTTTTATCTTACGTATGATGAACAGGTAAAAGTAACTAACCACCTATTTTGTTCAACTTCTTTGGTTTTCTATTATCTAATGGCGTTTTAATTTCATTTTTAGGCTAAATTGAGAGAAAAAAATCCTGGCAATGCTCTTTTAGAGGTAGGGTTTCAAATTTAACTTTGCTTTTTTTGAAAGCAGAAAGTTGAACACATTAAATTTGGTCACAGTTTCGTGGAAATGCTGGAAGCCATGATCTTCCTTTGTCAGTTGAAACACTAACTGCTGTTAGTAATTTGACTAAAGAAGGTGTGATTGACTCTTTTATCCCACTTTTTTTTTTAATCTAATCACAAATTTTGAACTAAATTTTGGTGCAAAAAGTATCTTCAGGTATGAAGATGAAGCTGCCAAGATATGACAAAGTAAGCACACATCAATTTTAAATTGTGATATCAATAACCTTCAAATACAAAAGATGCAACAGATACAAATCAACTTTAACACATTTCAACCAAATTAAGGTAAAAGACATAAGTCAAAGAATGTATGATTTTGAGATTCTTTCTTTAATTATGCAGTCTGCATACAATGGTAGAGGTGACAGAGCCGATCCTTCAACATGGCCTGAAGTTGAAGGACCTCTATCAGTAAGTGAAATCTTTTGGATTTTTTACGTTTTGAAAAGTTGTTTTTTTTTTCCTAATAATCGGCAATGTGTCTTTTCCCCGTTTTGTCAATATTTAGGTAGTTTTGTTTGAGGGTTGGATGCTTGGTTTCAAGCCTCTTCCTGCTCAAGTGGTCAAAGCTGTCGATCCACAGGTCAACACACTAACAACACACATCCAGATATTCATGTGTTTATATTGTTACTTGTTGAATCATTAATTTTTGCTGAAAATTCATTTGCAGCTAGAAATAGTGAACAAAAACCTAGAAGCTTATTATGATGCATGGGACAAGTTCATAAAATCATGGATTATCATCAAAATTAAAGACCCAAGTTGTGTATACCAATGGCGTTTACAGGTTTTCAACAATTTTCATATCCTCCTTGATTGATTTTTTATAGGTTTTATGATTTAAATATTAATTGCAAATTCGGGGAAATCTTGCAGGCAGAGATTGGCATGAGGGAAGCTGGAAACCCAGGGATGACTGATGAGGAGGTTTTTTTTTTTTTTTTTTTTTTTTTTATATTTTATATTTTTATTATATTCATCATGTTATTTCAACTTGTGCTAATATTTGTTGGTTGCAAAGGAAGTAAAGATTTGTTGCTTTTTTGGAGTTGCAGGTTATGGATTTTGTATCAAGATATTTGCCTGCGTATAACGCATACCTCCCTACACTCTACACAGAAGGACCAAAAGGATCAGATTCTAATCACACACTTATTGTTGAAATCGATGAACAAAGAAATCCAATCCTTGCTGGCTAGATACAGGCAACTAGGTACCTCCACCGATTCATCTTTCAAAGTGTTTAATTTGTATATTCAATAAGCCTACATGCATTATTATAAATATAAGGCTACGATTCTTTTTATACAATTTAAATGTACCTTACCTAAAACTTATTATGCTACACACTGCTTAACAATTAATATATATTACAACTTTTAACATTTCAATATCGTTGATACACAACAAATAGAATGTGTTAAGATACATATATATAGGTAGAAAAGATTGGTGTTTAAAAATAGATACGTTACATGCGGAAAATGAATAGGAAACACGGTTTTAGACATAGTTATATGGGCTACTTGCAGCAGCAACAATCACCATCCAAACACCCATGACACATTTCCGGGCAGCAACAACAGCAAAACATTGTGAAGAAACTGCATAAATAAATATTTATCAATTATGACAGAAATTTTCTATACAATGGACAGGTAACAAGCCAAAATTTGGGTTTGGGATTGAGTTGACCCCTTGACCTTTTTTTTTTTAAATAATTAATGTATTAGATATGTTTACAAAAAGTATATTATTAAGAGGTTTAAGGTCATAAAATGACAACATATTTTCTGATTTGTCTCAATTTTTTTACATATTTAATCATTTTACTTTTAAAAAGTGTCTCCCTTAGCTCATTATTTTTTGAATGAACTTTAGGAATTCGGGCAACTTTTAAACCATTTTCCTTTTATCTTTTACAAGTTTAACCCTTTAGAGAGAACATATAATCCATATCGATCCATTTTATTTTTTAAGTATATGGATTGACTAGAGAAGCGAAGAACTTATAGAAGGAGATGAGATAAAAATTAAAAAGGAATTCAGTTTAGAAAGTATACAAACCAGGCATATATGTAGCCCCTTTCGTCCTTCCGTTGTTGGATTTGATGATGTGATGACATCACTTGTATCTTTGGTGCTTCTGACATCTCTTCTATGTGTGGATGTGGGTGTGGTTTTTTCTAAAACTAAAAGTAACAGAAAAGAAACAAAGCCAATGTGGATATATGGTATAAAGAAGGGTATGCCTTGTATGACCGTATTTAATGAGGGTGGTGCATAGTTGGTGGTTATCAACCAACAATAGCCATAAGGTCCAGCCCCCAGGCCCCAACCCAACACAAATGTAATTTAACAGCATGCAAAAGAGATCACATGGTAGCGTTGTGAAATAGTAATGTTAGTAATCAATCCATTTGTAGTTGAAGTTATTTAATGTGATTTAAGATAAAAGTTAGTTTAGATTTTTTTATTCCTTAATTTTCACAAATTAATGTCAGTCTTTTCAGTTACTTGATAATCATTTTTATTTATGTCTAATAACAAAGTAATAATATATTTAGATTCTATATTAAGCATCCATATTTTGTTAATAAAAAAAGTTAATCATCATTATTTGCCATCATCATTTGTTGATTAAAAAGTTAATTATTATTATTTGTTAATTAAAATGTTGAATTAAAAAAGAAACAATTAAAAATATAAATTTTAAATTGATTAATAATCAATAGTTATAAAAAATATCAAATCGAAAATTAAGTTCTAACTAAAATACATAAAAGTAAAAGTTATACTACCTTGAAAGTAATAATTGACATTAAAAAACATTATGGTCGAAATCAAAAAATAAAACTTAGTAGTTTTTGTAAATTAATTAACTATACCAATAGTTAAAAATAACATTAAATAGAAAATAACTAACAATTATTCCAAGCAATAGTTAAAAGAAAAATAACAACAATTATTGTTCAAAATATCATGTGATTGACAAAAGTCATTGAAATAATATGATTCATCTAATAAATAAAAAATATTTAAAAGAAAATATAAAAATCTTACTGAACCAAAAATATTGAATTTAGAGTTGAATGATTTTTTTGTGTCTTTGCTTGTGGATTCCGTAATAACTTAAAGATTGAAAGTTAAACCCTTTTACATTTAGACCATTTTCCTCCATTTCTTGAAGGGATGTTCATTAATTCATATCCATGTTTGTTAGCGTATATATTGTATGTATTATGTAGCCCATATTGTTAGATAGGTTTTGCTTGTATTCAGTCCGTGTTCTCATACCAGGCTCATATTGTATGTTTTGTATATATATATATATATATATATATATATATATATATATATATATATATATATATATATATTGGAATGCATGGCCTAAGGCCAATTCATGAGAATTATGTGCGTTAACATGGTATCAGAGGGTATATGCTAAACCTAGCCTCTGATCCTTATAAGTCGTCTGCCCCAGGTCAATTTTTTTCTCGCAACATCTTCTTCCCTGTTCATCTTCATCATGCCAGACACAGGTTCTTCCACTCCCTTTTCTGGTCCATCAGATATGATCTCTGGTATAACAAACATCAAATCTTATATCCCTCATTTGCTTGATCTTGATCGGTTAAACTACGATTCCTGGAAAGAGCTGTTCAAAACACATTGCATTGGGTACTCTGTATATGATCATCTTGATAACTCATCTTCATCCTCCTCAAAACAGCTCATAGATCGGTCTGCATCATGGGAAGAGGTTGACAACATTGTCAAACAATGGTTATACGGGACTCTCACTCAGTCGGTCCTTCAATCCATTCTTGTACCCGATGCCACTGTTGCTAAAGTTTGGAAAGCTATTGAAGATCTCTTTCATGAGAATAAAGAGAGTAAAGTCATGGAATTGGACGATGAACTGCGCTCTCTAACCATTGGAGACTCAACTATTATGGAATATTGCACTAAGATTAAGTCCATATCCGACCTGCTCGCTAATACGCGTTCCTTGGTGAATGAACGAAATCTTGTCATCTATGCCTTAAACGGACTGTCGCCAAAGTTCTCTCACATTGTTACAACGATCTGCCATTAAAAACCCTTTCCGACCTTCTTGGAGATGCACTTCATGCTTACTCTTGAAGAACGATCGATGAATAAAGAGCATAATCGATTTGTACAATCCCCGCATCTTGATACACCTTCTGCCCTGCCAATCCTCAATACCCAACATCAAAATCGAGAGCCAAGCTCCAACCGTGACTCATCAACCGGCGACAGAGGGCCGTTCAAACGACGGTGGTGGCTTCTCGCACCCTTCAGCTGTGTAGGGAGGGTTCTATGCTTGGCCCATGTTTTACCCTCCTCAGCGTGGTCTTTTTCCACAGCCTCCTCCATCGGTCCAATGGCCATTTTTTGCAGGTCCGACGCATCCACGCCAAACAACACAGTGGCCCAATGCCACTCCATCCCAGCAACAACAGACGATGCTTACTTCTGGTCAGCCCAACAGCAGACAACCCATTTATCATCCAAATGGCTTTCAGTTTTTTCAATACCCGTCATCTGTCGAACAAGCAACTACCTTACCTCAAGCATTTAGTATTATGACTCTTCAAGATATGGGAAACACAAATTGGTTCATGGACACCGGGGCGACTGCTCACCTCAATAACGATGCAGGTATCCTAAATTCTGATACAAATAAGTGCAATAATTTTTCTGTTTTAGTTGGAGACATGTCTCGAATTCCGGTTGTCCAATCGGGCAACACTACCCTTAATCTCAATCCCTTTCGTACTTTACGTTTACAAAATGTTCTTATTACCCCCCAAATCATCAAAAATCTTATTTTCGTCTGTCAATTTACTCGTGATAATAAATGTTCGATTGAATTTGACGCCTTTGGTTTTTCTGTGAATGACTTCTTGACCAAACAAACTCTCATCCGATGTGATAGCACCGGAGATCTCTATCCGGTCACGATTTCTACTCCTCAAGCTCTCCTCAATGCCAACTCGTTTGTCATTTGCTTTATCTAAAACTCAAGTTTCTTTTCCTTTTCAAGCTATACATTCGGATGTTTGGACTTCTCCATTACAAAGTCATGGTGGTATTAGATATTATGTTCTGTTCTTAGATCGGTTTTCTCATTTTTTGTGGGTATATCCGTTACGCAAGAAATCTGAAGTATTCTCTATTCCTCACTTCCATGCTTATGTTCAAAATCAATTTCAAGCCAACATACAAACTTTTCAGTGTGATAATGGTAAAGAATTTGACAATATTTAATTTCACCACCTTTGTGACACTCACGACATCCATATGTGTTTTTCATATCCCTATACCTCTCAACAAAACGGTAAATCCGAACATATGATTCGCAACATTAACAACATCATACGTACCCTCTTATTTCAAGCTCATCTTCCACCTACTTATTGGGTTGAAGCTCTTCACATGGCCACTCATCTCTTAAATATATTACCCTCCACCACTCTAAAAAACGACACTCCATATCACAAACTTTTTAATGTCCGCCCATCTTATTCGCATCTTCGTGTCTTCGGATGTTTATGCTACATTCATCTCAACCTCACTCACAAACTCCAACCTCGTTCGGTTCCGTGTATCTTTCTTGGTTATCCTTCTAACCATAGAGGTTTTCGGTGCCTCAATCTTCATACCAAGAAAATTATCATCTCTCGTCACGTAACATTCGATGGGTCCATTTTTCCTTTTAGATCTGTCTCCCACGACCGTTCCCTTAACTATGAATTTATTAGTGTTGATGAGTCTCGCAATATCTTCAATAACTCATTCCATTCGGCTCAACCCATAGATCCCACACTTTACTCCTCTGCTGCCACAGACTCTAATACTACCTTCGGATCGGTCTTTAACGACCCTACCACCACGTCTTCTCCTGATGTCGATACTTCTCCCCCAAGTATTGACGTTTCTGCGTCTCAGTTCTCTCCTCACACCAATCCTGCTGTTTCTCACCCTGCTTTCCTAGTTCGGTCAACTCCACCCAACCCTCTCTTCGTACTCACTCTATGACAACTCGTGCTCGTCATGGAATTTTTAAGCCAATTGACAAGTTAAATCTTCATGTTAGTACAATCTCGTCCCCCTGTTCCACGTAATTACTCACAAGCTTTTCGAGACCCTAATTGACTAAATGCTATAAAAGAAGAATATAATGTACTCATTTCTA